GTGAAGTGGACAACTTATCATAAGATAAACTATAAGGTGGACATGATGTCCTTTAACAAGTACGCAAAGAAGATGAAGTAGATGGGTGTGAGAAGATAAGCTCACAGTGATAGTCCCTCAAGTAACTAGGAGGTCTTCTAGTTCTAGTAGAGTGCCTAGAAATGTGAGGAAGAGGAGTGGAAAAAGAAATATCATGGGATGAAGATGTAGGGGAAGATGAACCATCAGGTGACCCAACAAATATGCATCAGCAATAGAAGAAGGGAATATTGTAGAGTCTTTATAAGGTTGAAGATTTATATGAGAAAAAGAAAAGATGGATTCATAAAAGATTACATCTCGAGATAGAAAAAGAGATTTGGTGCTAAGATCATACAACTTTTACGCTTTGACAGTATAAGGATAGCCAATGAATATACATTAGCTGACTATAGAATTTGTTCTGTTGTGAGAAATAATGGAGGCATAATAGAAGGAACCAAAACTCTTAAATGTGAATAGATTGGATTTTGAGAGAACAAAATTTCAGATAGAGATTTGCTTGAAATATTTGGGGTTGGAATTCAATTAATCAAGTGATTGTCAATATACAATCTTCCAAAAAAAAGTGGGAGCTGAGCTTGAAACCTGAGAGCTCTAGCTACCTTTAAAAGGTGTTGGTGTTTTCTTTCCACCAGCCCATTTGTTGAGGTGTTGCAACACAACTAAGTTGATGTATAATGCCTTGAGAAGAAAAGAAAGAATGCATTGCAAATTCTGATCCATTAGTTGTTCTTATAGTCTTTAATCTGGTGTAAAATTGGTTTTCAACTAAGACAAAAAATTAACATAGCAAAGTATGAGTTTTTTATTAGATTCCATCAAGTAGACCCAAGTACATTTCAAGAATTCATCTACAAATAGTAGGGAAATACTGAGAACCATCTAAAGATGGAATAGGAAATAAACCCCAAATATCACAGTGTATGAGCTGAAAGGGAAAAATTATAACAATACTACTAACTGGAAAAGATAACATATTTTGTTTTGCATAATGAAATATGCTATTATGATTATCATGAGAAGTAGTAACATCCATATTATATATGTGTAATCACTCCAATCTTTGTGAAGATAAAGGTCCAAGCCTAAAATGCCATAGATTGGAGAAAACTTATGTTTGGCAATGAACAAATGAAACATATGAAGGTATCTATTTGTCTAGTCTGTGCAGAAAAATGCATAAGTCATCCCTCTCTTCACCCATCCCAGTTGTCTTCCATGTTAATTATTCCTGAATAAAACAATATCCAAGAAGAAATAGGAAACAACAAGAATGTTTAGTAAGCTTACTTTTAAAAATGAGGTTAGAATTGAAAAAAGAACACAATGCGCATTGGTTAATAGAATGGATTTAGAAAGTTTGATAGTATTAACATGGCTAACTAACACAACACTCCATTAGGTAATTTGATAGATGTATTAACCATGGAAGTTATGCAATTTAGATAAGAAATTGGACATACAATATGGTCAATTGCACCAATGTCTATAATCTAAGGAATTATGTTGGTATGATCAGAAGAATTAGTTGAATACAAAGAAGAAAAGATTGAATAACTAGAAGCATGATGGGCAGTGGTTGAAGCATATGAAGATGCATTACCTATCAAATTTAATAATGACTCAGTGTGAGAGCTTCTTATTTGATTCACATATGATTAATCACTAATGTCAAATTGATGTTTAAGAGTGCTAATAGCTACTGGATCTGTTCTTATGTAATCAATAGTTATGGATCTGATCTTGTGTTGGATTTATATTTCGTTACCAAATTCTCGCCATTTATCTACCAAATAACTTGATTTTTTGTTCTTGATTTATTCTGGGCTTTATTGAAACGAAAACCTGGTGGATAGCGATGTAATTTATAGCACTTATCAACAGTATGCCCCAAAACTCCACAGTGAGAACAATTTGGTCTACATTTATTTGAATTCTATTTATTTCCAATTTGGTGTCTTAAGTCGTTTGATCTGCTTAAGAAAGCAGTGGAATCAACACTGGAGGGAATGGATGAATCACTTCTCGCTGCCTCTCTTCTTGATGAATCATTTATCGATTGATGGTAATGGATCTTGAAGCAGTATTTGCCTTCTTATATGAGAATACAAATCATTCAATCCCATCAGGAATTTAATGATATAGTCTTCTTGTTAATACTCAATCAAAGTTTTCAAAGCTCCACATGAACATATCAGCAGAGCTCGATAATTCATCTCAAAAACCTTTAAGCTGAGTATAATATGAACTTATAGAGAGTTTCTATTGCACCAGGGACAAGATTGATTTCTGTAATTGAAAGATTTGTGGTCCATTTGCTTGTGAGTTTGTACCAAATTTCTTTGGTTGAATCTACATACAAAACTGTCTTTACAATTTCTCTTGAAAAAAAATTTAGAATCCAAGAAATCACCATGTTACTACAACGAATCCAATAATTATAGAAAGGATCAGTATGATCTGTTGGTTTAGAAGTAGTTCCATCGATAAATCCTACCTTGTTCCTGGCATATAATCTATGTCATCAACAACAATCAGATCCAAGAATTGTAGGTCTATCCTATCAAGGGTTGAGAGAGGATTGTCTCCATAATGAATGTGGAATGGAGGAAAAGCATCTTTGATCAGGCTTGAAGGAGAAGAAGTCTGCGATGCCTTTTGTGAAGAATGAGCTTCGCAGAAGCCAAATTTATAGAGGAAGTTTATTGGTTCTATAATACCACGATAAAACGAAGAATCAATAGATGAAAAGCTGGGACTAAGTTTTGAGAAGAAGAGAGAATTTCATTGATTGCATTTGATCAATACATCTCTTGTATTTATACACAAAATCACTAACTCAAGCTTAACAGAAAAAGTAACTAATTCTAACTGCTGAATATTCCCTAACTAACTTTGTAAGAAACTTTATTAACTTCTCTCAACAAACTCAAAACTAAATTTTGAATTCCTAACTAACTAACTGTTGTATTCCTCAACTACGAATAATTGGAACCTCGGCCTTTGTACTGAACATCAGCCACACACACCGCACATATCCGTACCTCACAAAAATTAATATAACCCCAAAACTAGAATAAATACAACACAATAGTAGTTGATATTGCTGATGCTAGAAAATCCTCACCGAGCACATGGTTAATTGGAATCGTTATTCGACTGACCAAGGACAGCACATGAAACGGCAAGTCGATGTCCAAAGAGGCTATGGGGGTCAAACTTCTGATGCTTAAGTTAGACTAGAATTAAGGAAGGAGAGTATCAAACTAGAGTTAGAATGGCTTACCTTGATGATTTCTAGTTTCCCCTTTTATAGGCCAATTGATTAGGACATTGGAGGATTCTTATGTTGGATTTGAATTGAGGCGGTACCAATGGTATAGCGGGAGTGGACTCTTTGCTGGACAAGGAGTCTCAAATGAGTTGAATTAGTCAAAATCATAAACAATAGGACTCTATTAGGCTGGATACTGTAGAGCTGACGAGCTAGGGTGTGGCCAAGCTATCGAGCTCCTCATACCGAGCTGGTGCTCAAATTCTTGTCGTTAGTTGCCCCCCAATTTAGCTTAGCGTGACTTGCACACATCCCGCATTTAATGCATTTGTCCATTATTGCCTAGGGAAGCGAGAACGTGAGGCATGCAGACGTAACTGTCAAACATCCATTGTGGGGGCATGTATTTAAATGCCCCGTCTCCACCACATTCCAACACGTTTCCAAGAAACTCAAGAACTCTTGTACTCCTATTCTTCCTCATCTCAATTCTCTTTTTTTTACTTTCTGTTAGAGCATATAGAGTGGATCCATGCCTTTCAATTTCATTTTCACCATTTTTGATTTGTTTGGTGGAAGGGTCATAACCTTGGTCCTCTATAGTAATTTGTAGAAAAGCCCACCTGTGTTTTGATGAAATTAGTCCTTGATTCTTGCCTTTATCTACTCACCCATAAATCAAGTTTCCTCCTTCCTTCAAATTTATACATCAATCACGATAGCTTCATTTCTATGATGAGCGATTCGTAGTGTGCCCTTTCAGAGAACACCTCTGCATTTGTGTCTGATGCCAATATAGCTAATAAAGACTCCAATGATGTACTAGAGATTGGCTCTTCTTCTGTTAGAGTCATGTGGGCCAAGAAGATCTTGAGCTCTCTTGACGAGGGCATCCTGAACAAGATCAGGGCTTTTTATAAAATTCATGAGCCTGTTCACCTTATGGTCCCCTCTTTTGTTGAGACGACTAATTTAGTTGGTCCTAACAAGGTTCATTTCTATGAGTCCATATTTGAGGTTGGCCATTGCTTCCCTATGCCTAAATATATTAGGGAAGCTTTTTAATTCTTGAATCTTCCCATTCTCTTAAACCCCAACAGTTGTACATTCTTGGTTGGCATCGAAGTCCTTTGGGCTAGGGCCAATGGTGTCGATGTTCAACCAACAATTGTTAAGCTTCTCCATTCCTACAAACTTAGCCCTTGATCTGAGCAGAGTTTGGGGTATTTTACTTCTCAAAATGAGAAAGAACTAACCACCTAACTATGTATTCTTCTAACGTGAAAGAGTGGAAAGATAAAATTTTCTAATTTTCTTTTTCTCTAAGCCCAACTGGGAGTTTGGACCTTTTGAGGTTCTTTCTAGTAGACCTCTTTTGTTCCCTTGCCTTTGAGGATCTCCTCCTCATTCTACTCGTAAGTATCATGCTTTCTATGATGCTTGTTTTCTCTGTTATTTTTATTAAACTCCTTTTTTTGTGCAGGCAAGTCCAACCCTTTGTCCCCCTTGCTTAAACAACGAATTGATAAGGCTCTTGCCTATCATACCAAGGATCTATCCACATTGGCTACTTTTTAAGACCTTTTTAAGTGGCTAGCCCCTTGCCTTCTAGTGGTGAGGCTCTTTCCTTATAGTTCTTGTTTCTATATTGAGTTTTCCTGACTCTTCTCTTGCTCTATACTAGCCACAACTCCTAAAAATGTTGACAATAAGCTTCTAGAGGAACTTCATGTGAAGAGAATCTCTGAAGGCCCTTCACCCCCTATGCAAGAAACCAAGCCTGACTCCCCCCCCTCCCCCGGGGCTAAGGAAAAGAACTCTCACCCATTCTCACCCATTATACCACTGAAGCCCCTGTCCTCCAAGGATGTTGTAGAGTAGGGGATTAACCTTATGGCCACCTATAGGAAAAAGGACAATTTGCCTAAGGTCCCTTTGGTAGACTTGGGAACTCCGCTTGCACCTCTAAATGATAAGGGGGAAAATAAGGTCTTTAAAGCTAGCGAGGGGAAAGAGGAAATTGCACTTAAGCCCACCAAAGTCTCTCGTCCCAACAATATGTGGGACAATGTGGAGGAAGCCAGGGTTAGATTTCATGAGTTTGTCTATGAGGAGAAGCTGAAAGAAACCTTTGACCATGGGCCTACTTAGGTTACCCAAATCCTTGCTCTGACCATGGAAAAGGTAAGCCTTGTACTTCCCTTTATGTCATTCTATACTGCAACTCTCCTTTTGTTGTACCTAACTTCCTCTCCTTGCTCAGCTTCCCATCTTGACTAATAGCCTTTCTTATACCGATCTTGGTGAGAAGAAAGCTTATAAGGAGAAGTTTGTGGCTCTTCATGCTAATCTCAAGGAAAGGGACAACAAGCTGATGTCTAGAAATGAAAAAATTATGAAAGTGGTACAAGATCATTATAAGGACCTAATCTCCCTAGGTTAGATGGAGAAGGAGCAAGGTGAGCTCCTAAAGGCCAAGAGCGAGATGCAAGGTTGGCTAAACTCTTCTGGGGTCCAGGTTGTGTAGCTCAGTATGAGGATCAAAGATCTTAAAGAGGAAAACAAAGCTCTTTCCCTAAAAGTCTCAAAACACTTCGTTGCTTTGGATAAGTAAAACACAAAAATGGTTGTTGTAGTGAAATCTACTGAAGATAGTGCCATCAAAAAGTACCAGGATTTTTTGGACTTCAAGAAAGAGATCCTGGACTATTATATTGATGGTTCTGAGGAGTTTAGAGTTCGTGCTAAGAAAGAGTAGCTTGAGCTCAACTTTTCCTAGTTTGCACTGGTGATGATATGGCATTTGTCGCAAAAGAAATTTGAAAAGAGGACAAGAAATTTGAAGACAGCAAATAAACCAAAGAGGACCTGAAGCTCAAATAAAGCAGCCAAGCTGAGTAGGGCAGTAGACCTCTTTCCTTCTCTTTTTTACAAAGTATCATGTGTTTACCCTCCTTTAGTTCATTAATAGAAAGTTTTCTTTTTAATTGTTTTCTTTGCTGAATGTTGTTCTTTGAGTCTAAACATCTTCTAATGCTCTTGAGCTAGTTTTTAATTAATTGGGGCTAAGCTTGTGCTAAAAGATGATTTGTAGGACTCTCTCAGAACTAGGTGAGTGTTTTAAGTTACCGATGACCCTCTTAGGCCTACTTTGAGCTAGGATGGGTGCCTTAACCTCCAAATAAGTTCAATCTAAGGTAGGGTGAATGCCTTATGCTGCCAATGAGCTTCTTGAGCTCAATCCGAATTATGTTGAATGTCTTATGTTGTAATGAGCTTCTTGAGCTCTAATCCAAGCTAGGCTAAATGCCTTATTCTGCCAATGCACTTATTGAGCTCCAATCTGAGCTAGGTATGCTTTCATGAGTCATTTTTGTAGGTTGATTAGGGTGAATCAAATGTCCTCCATAATGAGCAAAAAACAAATTCCTCCATTACCTTCGGACCTCCCATGATGCTCACCTGACCAACCGAGAGTTCAATTACGCATTTCATTAAGTAAGCCAATCAAGTGCCTTACAAAAATTAAGTAGTTTAAAATAATGCTCTCATTCAAACTAACAATTAGGTTGAAAAGAATTGCCTTTTATTAAAGCTAACTATTATGCAACAATAATGCCTTATTAGAGCTAGAAAACATTGGAAATTACTGGAAAAAATTCTTCAGATGCTCAACATTCCAGGGATGTAACAAGTTGGCTCCCTCCAAGGTTTCCAAGTGGTAGGTTCTGGGCCTTAGAATTTTCACAACTCTTTATGACATTTCCCAACTTGGTCTCAACTTTCCATCCTTGGAATCTTTGGCAGCTGGAATAACCTTTTTTAGGAATAAATCATTTAGCAAGAACTCTCAAGGCTCAACCCTGGAGTTATAGTACCTTGTCATCCTACTCTAATTTGTGGCAATCCTTCTCTATGATTTCTCCCTATTTTTGTCTATCCAGTCTAAGTTGTAGGCTAGTTGCTAATCATTCAGTGACTAGTCTGAACTCCACTAGGATAACTACCTCTGTGTCGAATGCCAGAGAGTAAGGAGTCTCGCCTATAGGGGTCTTGGCAGTAGTCCTATATTTCCAAAATAAAATGCTTGGAAGTTGATTCAGCCATAGCCCTTTAGAGTGGTCAAGTCTAGTCTTGATGCTCTTGAGTAGGATATGGATCGTAACCTATGCTTGTCCATTTGCCTATGGATGGTCAAGTGAGGAGTAGTGGTAAAGGATTCTGAGCTTAGAACAAAACATTCTAAACCTCCGTTGTCAAATTTTCTTCTGTTGCACTTATTATAACATATGGTATGTCAAATCTGCAAATAATGGACCTTTACATGAATCCCTGGATCTTCTGTTCAGTAATTGTTGCCAAGGGCTCTACCTCCGCCCACTTAATGAAGTAATCTATGGCAACAACAATGAATTTATTCTGACCTTTCCCCTTTGGGAATGGTCACATAATATTATTTCCCCACTAAGCAAATGACCATGGGCTTGGTATAGGAACAAGTTCTTGAAGAGGTTGCTTGGGAACTATAGCAAACCTTTGACATTTCTCATACCTTTGGACATAGCTCAAGGCATCTTTCTTCATGGTTGGCCAAAAAAACCCTTGCTCAACACTTTATGGGCCAGAGCTTGCCCTTCTAGGTGGTTTTCACAAATACCTTTGTCTATTTCCTCCAGCATATATGCTGCCTTTTTGGGATTTAAGCATTCTCAAGTTTGGGAGTGAGAACCCCCTTTTGTAAAGTACCTGGTTTAGTATAAAATACCTAGCTTCCCTTCAGCAAAGCTTCCTAGCCTCTTATGGGAGAGTACTGTGCTAAAGGTATGCAAGGATTTTATCCATCAAGCTCAGCTCCTAGGTCGTTGGTTGGATTTCTGAGCTCTAGGTGCTAAGCCTTGGTATGAACTCGATGGAGATAAATCTCACTAGGCCATCAGACAAAGTGGATGCTAATCTTGCTAGAGAATCTGCCAGTGAGTTCTAGGCCCAAGGTATCTAAGCAATCTCAAAATGTTCAAACTTTTGGACAAGTTCTTCTCACCAAAGATAAGTAAGAGCTCATTTGAGGCTCCCTAGCTTCATAGTCTATATGCATTTGCCTCACCACCAGCTATAAGTTATTGTATGCTTGTGAAAGCCTTACTTTGAATGCCTCAGCAAGTTTCAAGCCTGTAACAATTGCTTTAAATTTAGCCTCATTGTTTAAGGCCTTAAATCTGAAGGGCAAAGCATACTTAATCTTCTCTTTGGTCAGTGAGATGAATGTCAATCCAACTACTCCTCCAATTGGTTCAAAGACCTATCAATGTACATCTTCCATTCAGATTGCTGAAGGTCTTGATCCATTCATGGGAGCTCGACTTCACTAGTTGCAAACCTTGCTATCAAATCTACTACCACCTGACCTTTGATTGAGGTTCATGGTTGGTATTGTATATCGAACTCGCCTAGATCGATGGTCCACTTTGCTAACTACCGTGAAACATCATGTTTCTGGACAACTTGTTGTAGGGGACTTCCACAACACTGTTTCATTTCTCTGGATAACATCCCAATAAAAGTGTATAAACATTCAAATAATCTATTTGTTCCATTAAATTTTGCATATGTTACAATAAACAAATAATCCTCATTGGTACTTCACTTTTAAAGTGAACAAATTCAAACATTTTATGAACAATCAAACAACTGTAACTACTTCATATATATACAACCAAAAATATTAATAATTGCCACTTCTTTTTGAATTCTTTATATTTCTTCAAATAAACATCGATCTGGTCAATCTTGCTCTTGAGCCACTAGAGAGACACGTTGGTGTCTTCTTGAGACTTTTGCAATTGCTTCTACTAAGCCAAAATTTGTTGAAGCATTTGTCCAACTATATTAATATCAAATGCATGAGTACTATTGCCTACATTCATATCCAATGTAGAAGTACTTGGCCCATGACAAGCTATAGAACTTGAGCCATCACAATCTGTTCGGTGTTCAACTTGGGATGGTGGTTGAATCACCTTCTTAGAAGGCTAGTAAACCTTGGCATGCCCCAAAAAATTTTTAATTTGTACCATCATTTATTAGTTTCATCATAGGAGTACTATAAGTGTCACTTGACTCAAGCACAACTCCACAAATCTCTATAATTTTTGAAATTAAAATTGGAAATGTGAGACTTTGCCTCTTGTATTAGACCTCATACGCATAAGTAATACCATCAAATATTAAAAATGGGAGATCTATACATAACACTTTCGCAATTGCATAAAGCAAATGCATTCTATCAACTCCAAATTCAACAACTTGTCCTCTAGGCTTAATATTGCAAACCATTATACAGTTTAAAATCCTATAAGTCAAAGTAAGTTCTTTCTAGTTAATTCTGACATTGTTGTCCATAGAAACAACAGCTCTACCACATATTTCACAAATAATAGTTTCCAACTTGCATTCATCCTGGTTGGAATTTTGGTATGGATAGGTAAACATAACCTTAGCAATGAAGTGTCAAGGAACCTTCAAAATTTTGCAATCAAATCTGGTGTAACTTCAAACTCTTTATTCCTAACAAAAAGACTTAAACTTGTCATCCTCATCATCACAATCATGGATGATGGCAAAAAATATCCTCACTAATGTATCAAATGCTTTTTGTATATCAACTAAAGAAGTCTAATTATGAAGATAAAGAAACATAGGCAAGTCCACATTTGTTAACTTATCCAATGAAGAACCACGCTCCAATAACAAAGGCCACTTAGAAAAGATACTATAATATAGCTTTTGACAATTTGTGTTGAAGAAACTAGGATTGGATTCATTTTCTTTTCCCACCGACCCCGCCTACCATTGATACCATTAATTCAAGATCGATCTTGTAG